GCGGCGGCGGGGAGGAACGGCTCGGCGGCGGGGCTGCCGGGGGGGCTCCGCGGCTCGCTTGGGCTCCCGGCGGGGATGAACGGCTCGCTTGGGCTCCCGGCGGGGATGAACGGCTCGCTTGGGCTCCCGGCGGCCCCGAACGGCTCCTCGGCGGCGGAGGGGCTGCTGGCGGGGGCCGGGGGAGCGGCGCTGGAGCTGGAGCGAGCTCTACGCTGCTGCACCGCCGCCTCCGTGGTGACCGACGGCAGCGGCGCGGCCGAGGAGCGCAGCCTGTACATCATGAGAGTGGTGCAGATCGCCGTCATGTGCGTGCTGGCCCTCACCGTGGCCTTCGGCATCTTCTTCCTCGGCTGCAACCTCCTCATCAAGTCCGAAGGCATGATCAACTTTCTGGTCAAGGACCGCCGCCCGTCCAAGGAGGTGGAGGCGGTGGTGGTGGGGCCGTACTGACCGCAGGGCTGGCCAGACCGACCGCCGGACCGACAGCTGGACTGACCGCCGGACCGACCGCCGGACCGACAGCTGGACTGACCGCCGGACCGACCGCCGGACCGACAGCTGGACTGACCGCCGGACCGACCGCCCCCGGACGCGCGGGGTCGGCTTGGAGCTTTTCCTCCTGAAAAACATGGGGCGAATGGATCCCGGCACGCCGGAGCTCGGGAGATGCTCGGGGTGGCCGCAGCCGCCCATCCCGGTCCGGTCCGGTCCGGTCCCGCCGCCCGCGGCTGCCGAAGTAAAGCGTGCTCTGATGGCAACAGGTCTGGGCTCCTTATTCCGTCCGCCCCCTTCCCATTCCCATTCCCATTCCCATTCCCATTCCCATTCCCATTCCCATTCCCATTCCCATTCCCGTTCCCGTTCCCGTTCCCGTTCCCATTCCCGTTCCCTCCCGCCCGCGAGTCCCGGGATGCGGCGGACGGGAGCGGGGAGCGCCCGGGATGAAGCTTTCCCTGTCCCCCGCGGCCCGTCCGGGCGGCATTTCCCCTCCAGCCGGGCTAAAAATCCCCTTTTCCAGCGCTTTTCCAGGGCTTTTCCAGCGCTTTTCCAGCCCCCGCGGCTGGCTGAAGGCGGGACCCGCATCCCTGCGGCCGGGAAGATGCGGGAATTGCGTTCCTGCCCCTGGATCGCGGCTGTGGCCAGGGAAAACACCCAGCCCGGTTCGGCTGGATCCCGCTGGCCGGGAACACAGCGGGAATTTGGGAAAGCACCAATTCCAGGTTTTATTATCCCAGCTAAAAGCCGGACCAACAGGTGACTCCGCGCGGGCGCATTCCAGGGAGGGAGAAGCCGCTGCTCCCACGGGATTGGGATTTCTCCGTCCGTTCCCTCCGCAGGGATCTTCCCGTGGGAGCTTCCCGAGATGTTCCGCCCATTCCCGGCGGCTCCTCGGGATAAATCCGTGCGTCCACCTCGGCTGCGGGAGGAGTGGGAGCGCCAGAGGCGCTTCCCGGGAATCCCGGCAGCGGGATGGGGACGCAGAGACTCCGGGAAAATCGCTCTCCCGACACCCAAATTCCCGCTGGGAAATATTGATTGTCCGTGGTTTTAGTGCTGGAAGCTTTTTGGAGCTCCCTGGTTTATCCCGGAGGTTGGAGATGGCCGAGCTCCCGGGATTTTATGGGCACCCCTAGGAGAGTTTAAATTCGGGATGGAAAAGGTGAAATCCATTTCCAGCTGGGCTGGAAGGGATGGGAAAAGCTGGAGCTGCCAGAGGCGCTTGTGGGAGAGGCTGAGCCAAAGCAGAGCATCCCCATGGAATCAATTCCCTGAGCCCGGCAGGAATCTCGGCGGCCATCCCTCATTTCCAGCCGCGTTTAGGGAAAGACAAAGAACAGATCTGCCTGTTCTCCCGGGAACAAACACACCCTGCATCGGGAATCACGGGACAGAAACGTTCCCGAGGCATCCCGCATGAACCGGCTGCAGAAATTCATCCAGAATTCCCCCTTTTTTACCCTTGAGTGCCAGAGGAACGCTAGGAAAAGAGGGATTTTCGGATGACACGTAAGAGGGAGCAGTAATAGAGAGGTGTCAGTCATTCCAAAGCATTTCCAGCTGTTTAACTGGAATATTTTGGGGAAAGATGTGGAAAACAACAGCATTCCCCAATCCTGGCACGCTTGGGAGCTTTGGGGGAGTTAATCCATCAGGAATCCTTTATTAATTACAGGGAGTGCTTAGGGTGGAACACATTTTAATTAACCTTTGCCAGGAGCCACAGCTTTTCCCAACACTGGAATTCCAAGCCAAGGCAAAGTCCCGGTTCTGACCTAAAATTGTGGGATTTTCAGCCTCAGTCCAAGATGCCCCCACTCTAATCCAACATTTGTGCCTCTAATCCCTAAAAACATCCCTCATTTGAGGCAGGGAAATGTTGGGAAAAGGGCTTTTCCTGCTGGGTGATGTTGGGACACATCCAGCGCATCCATGGGATCCCATGGGAATTGAGCCCCTCTCCCTCTGTCCCATGGGAATTTGGGAATTGGCGAGGAGAACAGATGGGATATTTATAAGCTGTGCATGGGCAGGGAGAGGGAAGGGCAGGAAGAGCCCCTCAGACTCTGGGATCACCTCGATCCCACATTTTTGGGGTGACGGAGGGGCAGGAACCTCACGGGGAACAGAGATTTTCCAGCTGCTCCCATCATTTTTAGGAAAACACCTGGAAAGCTGCAGGAAGAATTTGTGGGATCAACAAGTCTGGGATTTTTTAGGGCTGCTCTGGAGGGAACAACACCCAAAAATTCCCTGCAGCCCCGAGAAGAGCAGGAATTCCTCAAGGAATATTTGGAATTCTGTTGGAGTACAGCAATACAAAACTCCAGTGTGACTTTCCCGGAGTCAAGGTTGGACCTCAGGCCTCCCGAATTCCTAATTCCTGTCTCCACAGGCATGACATCATTTTTATGGATTAAATCCCAGAGTTTGAGGTCCCTCAGTGCTCAGCTCCCAGCTGGAAAACCCCAGGAAAAAGCCTCTCCTGGGAATAAACCCACCCAACTCCCCTCTGGATCCTGGCCTGCGCTTCCCTGCAGGAATGGGAAGAGAAATCACGGATTTTCCTCTTCCAGCTCCAAAGTGCTGCGGATCTTTCCGGAGCCAGGCGGCGCCTGGGATGAGCCTGGCTCGGTTTCTCACCAGGAGAAATCCATTAAAAACACTCCTGGAGCATCCCTGGGGATGGCTCCGTGCTTTTCATTTTCCATTTCCCACCTCTTTTCGGGAATCGGCGCCCAGCCCCGGCTGGGGATGAGGGCAAGGAGCGCCCGGGCAGCTCAGCCACGCCGGGACTGCAGGGGTTAATTCCCATTCCACGTCCAGGCCAAATTCCCATTGATTTTTAAAGCAGCTCGGCTCCAACCAGGAAAATCTGTGCCCAAAGTTCATCTGGAGCTGAAAAGGGAAACCTTTGTAGGGACAGAGCAGCTCCTGATTTGCCTTAATATTTCTTATTCCGAATGGAATCCGTTCCTGGATCCCAAAGCTCTGGGGCTGGCAACTCTTAATGGAAGGATGTTCCCTAAAAATCCCGATATTCAGCTGGGAACCTCTCCTAAAAATCCCGATATTCAGCTGGGATCCCCTCCTAAAAATCCCAATATTCAGCTGGAAATATATCCTAAAAATCCCGATATTCAGCTGGAAACCCACTTTAAAAATCCCAATATTCAGTTGGGAATCTCTCCTAAAAATCCCAGTATTCAACTGGAAACCCCTCCTAAAATTCCTGATATTCAGCCGGGAACCCACTGTAAAAATCCCTACATTTAGCTGGGAATCTCTCCTAAAAATCCCAGTATTAAGCTGGAAACCCCTCCTAAAATTCCTGATATTCAGCCGGGAACCCACTGTAAAAATCCCTACATTTAGCTGGGAATCTCTCCTAAAATTCCCAATATTCAGCTGGAAACCCCTCCTAAAAATCCCAATATTCATCCAGGCCCCTCATTACCAGGAGCCCATTAATGCTAATTAACGAGCGGCTCATTAGCGAGGCTGCTCCTCCTCCCAGGCCTGTTTGTGTCCATGAACGGATCGGATCCCATTGATCCCAGCAGGAATTGCTGCTCCAGCCAGAGGGGGACAGCCTCTCTTCCAATTCCTTTGGGAGAGAATCCAGCAGTGCCAGCTCCAGAACTGAGGTTTGGAGTTCCTGTCCCAAAATCGGATTTTTGGAGCCAAATTTCTGCAGCCAATTCCCAACCCCTGAGCCTGGGATTGGAATTCCCAGATTCTGGAGTTGCAGGAATTATTTTAAAGTGTTTGGGCACCCTTTGGTTTTTCTCATCCCAAAATTCTGAGAGTCCTCCAAGGTGGAATTTAAACAACAGCATCATCTCCCATCACTGAACTGAATTCCAGACCAAGGAATACTGGTGGATATTGAATTTGTTCCCTCTGGAATATGGAGCCGGGATGGGAGAGCTGGGAATGTTCCCCTGGAGAAGGGAAGGATCCAGGGAGAGCTGGGAATGTTCCCCTGGAGAAGGGAAGGATCCAGGGAGAGCTGGGAATGTTCCCCTGGAGAAGGGAAGGATCCAGGGAGAGCTCAGAGCCCCTTGCAGGGCCTGAAGGGGCTCCAGGAGAGCTGGAGAGGGACTGGGGACAAGGGATGGAGGGACAGGACCCAGGGAATGGCTCCCAGTGCCAGAGGGCAGGGATGGATGGGAGATTGGGAATTGGGAATTCCCAGATTTGCTGTGGCTGCCCCTGGATCCCTGGCAGAGCCCAAGGCCAGGCTGGATGGGTCTTGGAGCAGCCTGGGATGGTGGGAGCTGTCCCTGCCTATGGAATGTGTGGAATGGGATGTTTTTTCCATCCCATAATTCCATGACTTATCCCATGATCACTGATGCATTTACAGGGATCTGGGGAGGTTTTTTATGGACACCTTTATTATTTCATGCCAAAAATACGCTATTTTTTATCGTTTCCTCTGGAGATGGGAAGCGGCGGGAGTCGGAGCAGATCCATCAGTTCCACCGGGGCAGCTCGGGACCCATCCCGCAGTTCTGGGATGTATTTTTAGCCTGTGGAAAAACAGCGCCAGGAGCACCTGGTATGACAAAGACACAAAGCAATCCATCACTGTCCCGGCCGTTATTCCAGCTGGGATAACCGTCGGGAGCTCCGCCATCCCACACTCCTCACCGCTGTCTGGGAAGTGTCTCCACGGAGCCTGGAGCAACCAGGGACGGGAGATGGAGATGGAGCGGGGATGGAGGAGATGGGGAGGGAGGAGATGGAAATGGAGCAAGGATGGAGGAAATGGAATCAGGATTAAATAAATGGAGTCAGGATGGAGGAGTTGGAGCAGGAATGGAGGGGACAGAGATGATGGAGCTGGGATATGAAGGAGATGGAATCAGGATTAAATAAATGAAGTTGGGATGGAGGAGATGGAGCAGGGATGGAGCAGGGATGGACCGGGGATGGAGTGGGGATGGAGGAGATGGAATCAGG